AATGGCCACACAATACATTATACACGACAAGACAAATAAACAAACAAAAATCATAACCTTTACAAGTCTTAAAGAAGAAGGAAATTAAAACATGCAAACCTGTCTATTGAAAGAGGAGCCAGGGAGGAGGGAGTCAGGGAGGGAGGAGCCAGGGAGAAGGGAGATAGGGAGGAGGGAATTGAGAGAAGGGGAGGAGCCAGGGGAGGAGGGGGTCAGAGAGGGAGGAGCCAGGGAGGGGAACCAGAGGAGGGAGCTGAGAGAGGAGGGTGGGAGAGGGAGGAGCCAGGGATGAGGGAGTCAGGGGAGGGAGGAGCCAGGGAGGAGGGAGTCAGGAGGGAGGAGTCGGGGAGGAGTCAGGGAGGGAGGAGCCAGGGAGAAGGGAATGGGGAGGAGGAGGAGTGGGGAGGAGGGAGGTCAGGGAGGAGGGAGTCAGGGGGATAGGAGGGAGGAGCCAGGAGGAGGAGTCAGGGAGGGAGGAGCCAGGGGGAGGGAGTCAGGAGGGAGGCAGGGAGAGAGTCAGAGGAAGGAGCCAGGGAGGGAGGAGCCAGGAGAAGGGAGCCAGGAAGGAGTCAGGGAGGGAGGAGCCAGGGAGAGGAGTCAGAGGAGGAGCCAGGGAGAGGAGTCAGAGGGAGGAGCCAGGGAGGGAGGGAGTCAGGGAGAGGAGCCAGGGAAGGGAGTCAGAGGGAGGAGCCAGGGAGAAGGGAGTCAGAGGGAGGAGCCAGGGAGGAGGGAGTCAGGGAGGGAGGAGCCAGGGAGAAGGGAGTCAGGGAGAAGGGAGTCAGGGGACAAGTCAGGGGAGGGAGGGAGTCAGGGAGGAGGGAGTCAGGGAGGGAGGGAGTCAGGGAGGAGGGAGTCAGGGAGGGGGAGGAGCCAGGGAGAGGGAGATGGGAGGGCAGCCAGAGAGAAGGGAGTCAGGGGAGGAGCCAGGAGGAGGTGGGGAGGGAGGAGCCAGGGAGAAGGAGAATGAGGGAGGGAGCAGCCAGAGAGAGGGAGTCAGAGAGGGAGGCCAGGAGGGAGGGAGTCAGGGAGGGAGGAGCCAGGGAGAAGGGGAGATAGGGAGGAGGGGGGAGTCAGAGGGAGGAACCAGGGAGAAGGGAGTCAGGGAGGGAGGGAGGAGCCAGGGAGAAGGGAGTCAGGGAGGGAGCAGCCAGAGAGAAAGGAGTCAGGGAGGGAAACATGAGATCAAACATTATATTTCAGGTCGTGGAACAAGTGAGTCAAGTTTCCTCTCATGGTTAGCGCTTCTGGGCAGTGGTGGCGCTCAAACACACTGTGCCAACCAACCAACCAACCAGCACAACCAACCAACCAGCACAACCAACCAGCACAACCAACCACCACAACACATAATTACTGACCTTCCCCTCTCGACACTGAACAAGGACGCCGCTGAATTAAATTATCACTATATCAACAACTTGAAGGTCACGTCCATATGATAATAATAATAATAATTCACCTGTCACCTTCACCCAGATGAACCTCTTCCGTGACTGATGCTGAACAAATCCCTCGCCAATTTAAGTTGCCTAAGAAATTTCACTGACATATACTCATACGGTCTTAGTCTTTAATGATACTGACCGCCTGTGTGACTGATCAAAAGATTCCCTCAGCCACTAAGATCTCGGAGTCCTTGAAGGCACTAACCGAGTCCTTAAACCTCTCTAAAAGGATCCTTATAATCCTTCGTAGGACCCCACAAATGTTTTAAGATGTATAGGAACTGACGGCAGTGTTCACAGCTGTTGAGGATCTTGTGGACAGGTCGGTAAGGAAGGATAAGAATGGATAATTTACCTTAAGAGGGATGCCTGTCCTTCTTGCCAGCCAGATGTTACAGGAGGACTTTCTGCTTCACACCTGCGGCTGTTATTTCCGCAGACGAAGGCGCAGAAAGCCATCATTATCATCACCACCTCACAACTGTTGATAGAAATAATTATTGAAATTAGTCTAAAAGTTCCCAAGTTCTGCTAATAATATATGATAAAAAAAATTGAAGAGAATTTTATCAGAATTGGATGGTTTTAGAAGTGAGTAATATAATGTAATGACCATAACTACTGACACACGTACAACATTACGAGTAACACAGAATAAAAGAAAATACAGCAGGAAATGCACAATAAATACAGCAGGAAATACAAAAGTACTCGATAAATACAGCGGAAAATACAAAAAATACACAATAAAATATAAAATACACGAAAAATACAAAAGAAAAAAACAATAAAATACAGAAAAAACAGATAAGAGATTACGGAAGAATTACAAAACTACAATACAGAATTTAAAGAAATATTCTGAATTAGTTATTAGTGGCGTCTTTCCTCTCTTTGTCTCCCGGCAGGTGAGGTAAGGCCACTAATCAGCCACCTGCTTCCTGGAACCAAGGTATAATACTTCTTGCCTTTGTCTGTCTGTCTGTCTGTCTGACTTACCTTGAAGCTTCACACGGTTGACCCGTGAATAAAGTTATCTACCGTGAGTGTTGGACTGTACCATGAGTGTTGGACTGTACCGTGAGTGTTGGACTGTACCATGAGTGTTGGACTGTACCATGAGTGTTGGACTGTACCATGAGTGTTGGACTGTACCATGAGTGTTGGACTGTACCATGAGTGTTGGACTGTACCATGAGTGTTGGACTATTACCATGAGTGTTGGACTGTACCATGAGTGTTGGACTGCCACCATGAGTGTTGGACTGTGCCATGAATGTTGGACTGTTCCATGAGTGTTGGACTGTACCATGGTGTTGGACTGTACCATGAGTGTTGGACTGTTATGAGTGTTGGACTATTACCATGAATTGGACTGTTCCATGAGTGTTGGACTGTACCATGGTGGACTGTACCATGGTATTTGGACTGTACCATGAGTGTTGGACTGTACCATGAGTGGTGGACTGTTCCATGAGTGTTGGACTGTACCATGGTGTTGGACTGTACCATGAGTGTTGGACTGTACCATGAGTGTTGGACTGTACCATGAGTGTTGGACTGTACCATGAGTGTTGGACTGTACCATGAGTGTTGGACTGTACCATGAGTGTTGGACTGTTCCATGAGTGTTGGACTGTACCATGAGTGTTGGACTGTACCATGAGTGTTGGACTGTACCATGAGTGTTGGACTGTACCATGAGTGTTGGACTGTACCACATAAAATGAAATACACAATACCATTAATTTTCTTGACCTAACCAGCAGAAGAAAGTGAAGTAACATGTATAATTGTGTGAATAACTCGAGATGCATAACTAAACAACATGACACTTGTTAACTCATAGAGGAAATAACAGTAGTATTAGGTCGTTAAGTTGTGTTGTACTCCACCAATCACTTGAAACACACACACACACACACACACACACACACACACACAACACTAGAATAAACATCTAAAACACTACTCTAAACATTTGTGTCTTTACTACATGTTTTAGTATTTATGACTGTAAACATTAATGGTTTATTTGTAAATGTTTATGACGTCTGTATCTGTGACGTCACTTTAATCGTATGGCGTCATATAAGAACATAAGAATCAAGATGCTTTAACCTGTCTCTGTACTCAAGGTTCCTAATGCCCGGGATTAGTCTTGTCATTCTCCTCTGAATTCTTTCTAGGGATTCTATATCCATTCTGTAGAACGGTGACCAGTACTGAACTGGGTAATCCAAGTGAGGTCTCACAAGCGCAAGATATAGTTTTAGGATGACCTCGCTAGTCTTGTAACTAACACTCCTTCGTATGAACCCAAGTACTTTGTTAACCTTGTTTCGAGCAAATACACATTGTTTACTTGGTTTAAGATCCCTACTTATCATTACTCCTAAATCTTTCTCACAGTCAGATTTCTCTATAACAACGTTGTTCATATGATAGCTGGTTTCTCTGTTTACATCTCCTAGGCGAAGTACTTTACATTTGTCCACATTAACTTGCATCTACTATTATTCAGACATCATAAAACATCAGACGTCAGGCTAATAAGCTTTGACGTCAGCCTGGGTGGGTGGTGACGTGTGTGGTGGGCGGTGACGTGTGTGGTGGGCGGTGACGTGTGTGGTGGGCGGAAGAGTGAATGTATTAGGTGTGAGAGTTCCCACATCGTCCCTAGTGCCCACGACCAGGTTATTTGCCGCCCACCACCCACAGGTAACTCAAGTGCCGCCCATAACCAGTTCACACGCCCACCACCCACATTAACTCACGTGCCGCCCATAACCAGTTCACGTGACCGCCCACCACCCACAGGTAACTCACGTGCCGCCCATAACCAGTTCACGTGACCGCCCACCACCCACAGGTAACTCACGTGCCGCCCATAACCAGTTACACGCCCACCACCCACATTAACTCGTGCCGCCCATAACCAGTTCACACGCCCACCACTCAAGTGCCGCCCATAACCACGTGACCGCCCACCACCCACAGGTAACTCACGTGCCGCCCATAACCAGTTCACACGCCCACCACCCACATTAACTCACGTGCCGCCCATAACCAGTTCACACGCCCACCACCCACATTAACTCACGTGCCGCCCATAGCCAGTTTACGTGACCGCCCACCACCCACATCCATGCAGTATGTCATTCTCGTTATTAATATTAGTGGTATATGTATAAGCATGTATATCAAGCCCTGTTTACTACCATGATAACACGTACCACCATGTTTGTTTACTACCATGATAACACGTACCACCATGTTTGTTTACTACCATGATAACACGTACCACCATGTTTGTTTACTACCATGATAACACGTACCACCATGTTTGTTTACTACCATGATAACACGTACCACCATGTTTGCTTACTACCATGATAACACGTACCACCATGTTTGCTTACTACCATGATAACACGTACCACCATGTCTGTTTTTTACCATGATAACACGTACCACCATGTTTGCTTACTACCATGATAACACGTACCACCATGTCTGTTTACCATGATTTTAATGTCTCTGTTTTGTCGACAGGTTGGGAGCAGCAAGGAGCTATGTGACGATGGCCAGACTGAGCCATGGCCCTTACAAGCCTCTTCCTTCTTTCTTCTTCTGGTTCTGTGAGTAAGAAGATAACGAGCAGTAAACCTTCTACGCCTCTAATAACTCATCGGACGTCATCACTTCTAGAGAACTTCTTAACCAATCACCAAACACGGACTCTCAACTCCTTGGCCAGTGGGCAGATACAATTGGACGTGACGTCATCACCGCTTGATATCATCCTAGCCAATCAGCGGTCAAACCCTTAACGTCTCGCCCAATCAGTAGCTGCAGGATGGGTAATCAAAACAGTAGTAGGGCGGGTCTGTCCCAGCCGCCCCTGACCTGGACTCAGAGTTTCCCCAGAGAAAACAAACGTCTCAAGAGATATGGAGCCACTTCTGATACTAAGGTGAGAATGGTCACGTTAGTTGTGAGGTGAGGTAAGGTGAGGATAGGCGAGGTGAGGTGAGGGGAGGGGTGGTGAGGCGAAGTGAGGTGAGGGGGGAATTTACATCAAGCAAGAGGGCACTTTGTCAGTAATGTGGGGATGGTGAGGGAGTTAGAGGGAGTGAAGATGCAACAGACAGGGGAGTGAGTGCCGCCCATACCGAGGGTGGGTGTGGGTGTGAACCGAGGTGCCGCCCATACCGAGGGTGGGTGTGGGTGTGTACCGAGGTGCCGCCCATACCGAGGGTGGGTGTGGGTGTGTACCGAGGTGCCGCCCATACCGAGGGTAGGTGGAGACGTGTACCAGTGAGCCGTGACCATCCCACGCCCTTGTCCCTGACCTATGTAACTACAGGGGTCCATCACGACGTCAGGGAGTCATCATAATATAAGTAATAACTGAAGGATGACTTAATGGGTATTAACACAATAAAATATACAGTATAGATTAAGGCAACTATATTCAGTAACCAGACACCTCCAAGATGGCAGACAAGAAACTGGATAAGACAATACCTTAAATATAATAAAGAGAGATATATTATACTCAATAAAATCAAGACACGTCAATTAACTGTAAATTATTCTTCATATTTCTTGTATTAATGTTTAGTTCTTCACTACATAACAATAACACGCACTTAATAGTTTAGTGAGAGGCGAGGTCAGGTGTTCAGTCTCTTAATGGTTCGTAAGATCAATAGTCCTGGTAAGAGAAGATGAAAAATACACTTAACTTAAGATATATTTCAAGTTAGATTTCAATGTTATTTTGATCGCCAACTTCGAGCTCCAGTTAGATTTTTTTTTAACTTTCAGTGACATAGGGAAGGATTTTGTTTACTTTTTTTTTATAAAGATTTATGTTTCGTCATATAAGAGTCCTGTCACTCCTTCTCCCATCCATGAACCCTGAGACTCATGAATCTGTGAATCCGAGACATCACCCAGTACACCATCTATGGGACCAACCATGTGTCAGGTCTCGGATTCACGGGTTCATGAGTCTCAGGGTTCATGGATGGGACAGAGGACTGACTAGACTGTAATCCAGGTATCGCCTTTATGTACATCAAATTAGATCTACGTTAAAGGTGATTATGTTCGTTATGGTTAAGTCAACACTCAAATATCTTAACCTCGAGAAAGTTCCTCTCTCGGATCCCATTAAGAGACACACAATGGCGGCCTGCACGGTTCACCTCCTCTTCTTCCCTCTTACTTCCTCCTCACACTCTCTCAACACTGTGTTTGCTCCGCCAACAACTGTGTTCTTAGTACCCTCTTTTTCTTCTCTCTCTTCAGTTACTGCCTCCTTGACCTTGCTTCACTTTTGACTTCCTTAATCTATCTCTTACTTCCTGCGTCATTATCCTCCTCCTATTTCGCTTGTCTTAATGTTCTTCCTCTTCCCCCATCATCACTTATTCCTCCTCGTCCCAGTTTAATATTTTCAGTAATAAAAATATGTGGGATTCTTTGGCTCATTATAGCTGTTAAAAGTGTCATAATAATCCCGGTACTTAACTGAGGAAAAGATTGATGATTACATTTGCTTTCACCTGTTGAGGGAAAATAAGAATTCAGTGTTGTTTACGGGGAGTTGACAATAGTAATTGGAGAAGTATTATGTGAGGGAAGAACAGGTATGGCAGTATAATTTATAGTCACAACTCTTGACTAATGTAAGTATTTTCCTCAGGTGTTGCCCCAGAGGATCCCCGGTCAGCGTCTGCGGCCCACAGAGAACGGTCACATCCTACAGACGAAGGGCACCCTCTCAGCCAGACGAATGGCAGAATTCCACGCCCCACATCATCCAGCCTTCCCGCCGCCCATCGTCCTCAACCAGCAGCATCACGCCCTGCACCAGCCACACTCAGCCTCAATGACCGCCCTCCACTACCCACACTTCCACGACGAGCGCGCAGCCTCCATTCATGACCTCAGGTTTGGTCGTCCACCGTCAAAGAATTATGCCAGTGAACCAGACTTAAGAGGACCGTCCCCTCCTACGGCTGTTCCTAGTCCACCGCCTCACACAATCATCAGTCAGTCGCCGACGAAGGGCAGAATCAAGTCAAAGAAGAAATACAAGGCGCCTCCAGTCCCTCCGGCAGGGATGATAGACTCCCATTCACTGCCTCGCGGTGCCGAGAGGTCTCACTCTCTGAGCGATATGACACCTCAGGCGTCCCACAGCCAGTGGCCCACCCCCTGTGTCGTTCACTTTGCTGATCAACCTCAGAGACACATGGTGAGCAGCCCTAAGCCTCAAAAACCCAAATCACGTAAAATTGGTCTCTTCCGTAAAAAGAATGAGTCTCGACGTCCCAAAGGAGGAGAAGAACATCGCAGCTCAGGGGAAGAGCAAGAGAGAGGCCGGGCAGCCAGTGAGGACAGACGTGCAGTCGTCACGCCAACTCGCAGCTCACCCCGAGATGAGCTTCGCGAGCGTGCTAGGAGTCTGGACTGCCTGCAACATGAGCTTCGCCACTCCCCCGTGTCTTCTTCAGTGCCAGTTGCAGCTTCAAGCCTGACTCACCTCCACCAGCCTCAAGAACAACGCCTCTGGGCAACTCTCGACAGAGACTCCAAACGCTCAAGTACACACGAGGTTGACTCGAAGCGAAGCAGCACGATAGAACGTGAGTCTCGGAGGTCAGGTAAAGACTCAAAGAGAATCAGTACACTTGAAAGGGATCAGCAGAAGAGTCACCGCAGGATGAGCACACTGGAGAGGAAGGTGGAGGAGAGGAAGAGCTGGACAGGAGACGGGCGTGACAACTCCACCCCCTCCTCTACCAGTCGCGTCTCCCGCCTCGACTCTTACCGGGAAAACACTTCACACCGCCGCTCGTCCTCAAGCGGGTCTCATCACGAACTAATTGCAGAGGAAGTAGAGAGACGGGATATTGATGACGAGTGGGATCAAGCCGCAGCAAAAATTAGTAATGAGAAGAAGAAGGGAAGGGAGAAGGCTACTGGTGATGAATGGGACACTGTAGAAGAACAGGTAACGGAGCGTAAGAAAATGTCCGCAAACCTTCAGGCAGAACTCATCAACACTGTAAAGAACCTGAGAAAGACATCTACTGAACAAGAACCCAAGACGTCCTCACTAACACGGAAGGGAAGAGAAAGTGAAAAGCGACCATCTAAGCCTAAGCCCACCACACAACCATCCAGTAGCCCTGCAGTGGTAGTTGACCAAAATGAGTCGCAGCGCAAAACCTTCTTCTTCGGGATGGAACCAGAGATGCCCCGAGAACCCCGCAGTGAGACCAATACAGGTCTTCACAAAATCAAAAACCAAGAAGAAGCGGCCAAGACCAGAAATCGTGAGGAAGTTTTCATCACTGGCCAGACTGTCGAATACTCACGTCGAACTCTGGAACGTAATGAGAAGAGCCGCAGCCGCAGTACCCGCAAAGAGAATCAGAAGGTAACCGAACCTCAGCGCAAAACCGTTGATGAAACTGACGGTCGTAATGGTGGAGGTCACAGTGATCATCGCAAGTTGTCTCGGGACGTAGAAGAGTTTGCAGTCGCTATTGAACGCCACAAGATGAGTCGAGCCGACGGCGACAGATCAGCAAGTGGGTCATCTCGACGTGAGGATGGAGGCTACCACTCTAGACAGAACTCCGGGAGTCTTTATCTGGACAATGAGAACGACGTGAGGGTTGAGGGTGAACTGTGCATGAACTTAAGACCGACTCTACCACGTCGACAGTTTGAAATTCCCAGATTTAGTCCAAACGCTGCCTGGCGTTCCTTGAGCCTCGAGCGTGCTAGCAGACACCCAGAAGCTCTAGACGAGACACGCAGCAGTGAGGAGCCAGACTCAGTGTACGAGGCAAGAATACAGCGGTTCACTCGGCCTACAGCTCCTCCCAGAGGCTCCGGTGAAAAGTCCGCCGACTCGGGCATCTCAGGAGATGCCGGCAGCCCTGGACCCACACACGAGTTTGAGCCTCTGATGGCCACAGAGAAGACCAAAGGCTCTTCGGGACCACTGGCAGCGTCCTCACCTGTAGTTTCTGGTCTCCCTGAAGTCCGACGTGCTTGGACTCCTGCCCAAGACCTGGATGACAATAGTCTTGACAGCCACGGTGAACACCACACCGCCCTGCCCGAGGGACTCTCCACACCTCCCAAACTCACATCACGCTCTAACATGTTCCCGAAGTCACAGGAACTGACACCAGAAACTGAAGCCGAATCCCCGACTGAAACAGAAACTGTTTCAGAACTCGTGTCTCCGGACAAGAAAGATCGCTGGTCAAGGCGCAAGAAGCGAAATCCTGCTGACATCATTCCTCATAAGTTCAACAGTCTCCGTAAACTTAAACGGTCCGTCTCTGGTGCCATCACTGGTCTGGGCCGCAAGAGTCCTGGTGCGGAAGATTACCTTCAAAGCGGAACACTTGATGAGCCTCAAACCCAACCTCAAGGAGACGACACCAACTGGCGCGACAACTGGTCCATGTCTCGCTCCATCCCTAACTCGCTCAACACGTGTGAAGAACATGACACGGGCAGCAACCTCTCCAGTAACCGCAACACCAGAAGTAGATCTGAGTCTCGTCTGGCAGTCGGAGGTGGTGACGCCTCACCGGAGGACTCGCGGCCTCGCACCCCGTCTTACCTCCAGCATGGTAACTCTGGCCACATAATGTATCTCCCAGAGTACAATTCGCGGAGGATGAGCCGTGGGGAGGCAGGTAGTGAGGATGAGTCTGACCGACGTCACAGCAGCACTTCACAACACTACGACCGCCACCACAACCTCCGACACTCCGACAGGCCGATGACGCCCGATCACGAACGCAAACCTCCGTCAGGTGAGTCCTTAACCTGAACAACAACGTGTCTATTCACTTTCCTTTGTTCTGGTTTAGTGAATAATTTATAGATATATTAAGTATTGGTCTTCACAGGAATGTAACTCTGTTCTTCGAGAAAGACATCATCATCATCTTAATGTAAAAGTAAAACGGAATTATATGCATATTGAAGATGTATGTAAACAGATGTGACCAGGAATGTTTTATAATTAATATTCTGCGAACGACATAAATATTATAATACTGACCAACATGTACCATCCTGCGACAGGTGACGAGGACCCAGCACAGCCAGAGACTTACCATGGGCCCACTTCCCTCCCTACCTCCCTCCCACACTCCCATCCCGCCCTAGCCTCCTCCAAGAAGGCCAAGGGTAAGAAGTTTTCCTACCAGAGCACCGTCAGGGTTCTGGAGAAGAGAAAACTTGAGGAGAAGCTGACCAGGGAGGTCGCCGAGAAGGAGAAGCTGAGGCTGAAGGAGATAGAAGCCATGAAGAGGGTGAGAGTTGATCCGTTCTCTTCATACACCACTTATAGTTACACACGATATTCATACACCACTTATAGTTACACACGATATTCATACACCACTTATAGTTACACACGATATTCATACACCACTTATAGTTACACACGATATTCATACACCACTTATAGTTACACACGATATTCATACACCACTTATAGTTACACACGATATTCATACACCACTTATAGTTACACACGATATTCATACACCACTTATAGTTACACACGATATTCTACTTCATATTAAACTTTGTGCTGAACAACTTAACACAAACAAGTGAGTTTCATTACAGAGGGAAAGTTAAAGTCAACATGTACTAAAGACTAACAGGACACAAGGCTACAATTACATTCTTTTGACAATTTCTCACATTTCTGCAGGTTGAAGAAGAATTCCAGAGGAAGAGGGAGAGAGAGAAGAGGAAGGTGAAACAGGAGCTGAAGTTGCTCCAAATGCAGCAGCAGCAGCAGCAGCAGCAGCAGCACACCAGCAGAGACACACACAACCACTCCTATTCCAGTGACGACCACGCCCCCTCGTCCTACTCCTCAGAGCAGAACGAGGTGTCTAGCCAGGCCTCGTCCCAGCCACCGCCTCTACCTCGCTCCCCGGCCCCACAGGTACGTCCTCACCTCCTCTCCAGCTGCCATATATGTGTACCAGGTTAATATAATTACATAAGTGAACAACAAGAAGACAGGACACTCGTTTATATACAATGAAATAATAGTTCCAGGAGCTGTTTTAGCTTAACCATGTATTAGTAAACAATCTGAAGTCCAATACTTATTTCTGAAATTCAATGTGAAATTCTTAAGGCTTCCGACATGAGAATAATTAGGGTATTAAGAGTCCCTGAATCTGTACTCGCCAATGCTATGCACAGTGTGGGGCTCAGAAGGTGTCCCGCGGCCACAGGACATTACTAACATGAGTCTTTCTTCTCGGCAGCAGGTGTATCCCTCCTTCACCTCCCTTCCTCCTGAGTTACCTTCAGACGCTTCCCCTGGTCTGCTCTCCGGACTCAAGAGTTGGGTGCGGAACAGGAAGGAAAGTCGGTCGTCCACCTCCTCCACTACCCTCACCTCCGCCCCGAGACAGGACCCTGACGGAGCTCCAGCTTCCTCCCCGAGGAAAATCAGCGATGACTACAGTGGTTCCAGCAGCAGTTCATCGCGGAAAAGCAGCACTGACCACAGTGACCAGTTGAAACAAGGCTTCCGGGCTGAGATTATCGCTGCTTCTAGAAAGCGCAACGCGAATAATCCGGTCATCGTCCACGAGAGTCCACCACCCAAGCACAACAACCAGAAAAGGTCTATATACAACCACCTGAACGAGGTTGTTGAACGTGAGGCGCAGCGGTCACAACGCCAGCAGAGTTACCAGCAAGAAATGAATTACTCACACCGCCAGAAACTCAGTAGTAAACACATCCAGAAGGACAACCTACGCCGGTCTCAGTCCCCGGATGTCCGTCGACTGATGCAGGAACTACCGGAGCTGCATCAGGAGCGGCGGGAGTACCGGGAGTACCGCAGTCCCTCACGCCACTCCCGTCACTCACACTCCCCGCCTGCCCGCACCACCAGCAGTAAGTACCTCACCACGCCCCTCAACAGTTCCTCAATATATTTTCTAGGTCGTTGCAATAACCTTCCCGATACTGCATGAAGTCACTAATGACCCTCCAACCATCCTTTACCACCCAAAGGCTTCCCGCTTACCACCCTCACCTACCAACCAACAAGCGCCTCTGTACACCTGTGTCCCCCCTTCTCACAAACTTCCTCACTTCAACTGGCGCGTCTTCTGTATCCCGTAACCCCCCCCCTACCCCCTACCATCCTCCCCATCAACTCAACAATAAGCCGTTTTTCTCCCCAACTCACAGCTTCTATAACACATACTAATACCTTCCTCTGCATCTTCAGGTCCCCCAGCTTCAATATCTCCCAACAAGAGCCTTAACAACTACCGACGTGACTTCTGCCACGGCAACGCCCAGGTGGCGGGCCCCACTGTGGTGTCTGTCAAGGTCAAGCGTAACGACGAGAGTGACCGCTATTCCAAGTGAGTTGTGACCCAACCAATAACATCGGAAGTTAAATTTAAAAAAATTATTCTGAGTCAATATATGTCACTACCTCAGTCAAGCTTTTATTAATATTGTACAAGGATATATTGTTTGGCGGTGTTGCCTTACTGTACTTGTGAAATGTTTCTCTAAGAAAAAATGGTCCTTGGCAGTTATTCCCGTCACTGATTCTTCTCTTTACGGTCAAGTCGTGTTGTTGATATAGAGACTGAGTTATGTCACAAAAACAAGTCTTTATTATCGCCACTCTGTAAATATGGACTACTGGAGCCGAGACTTACTGTTATGTACATACATCTACATTGATTATTATACACCTGCATGTTCTTCAAATTTTTAATACGTCATTCATGGCAAAAATCATTAATATTTTGCCCTGACCATCCCAGACACTCGAGTGATGATCGAAGGTCGGTGGGCAGCAGCGGCGTGCACCGCAGCGCCTCTGTCGACCTCCTGGAGACCGGGTCGTGTTCCTCCTCCTCCACAGCTCGGCACCACCAGTCCTCCCACCACCTCGCTGACGCCTCCCTCAGTCATAACTATGGCAGGGTCAGTACCTCTCTTTTACTCTCATGAAATATAATATCAAGATTTCTCACTGACATGCCATCAAGGCGATACCATAGTTCTCTCTCCTGATATATGATGCTTATATAGATATATGTATAGTATCTGGCCTCTACTGATTGTACGAGCTAGTAGTCATATCAATTCCTCATCGTTGTGCACTGTGAGGTCTGTCTGAATTAGTATTCTAAAAGATGACCAAGTTAACTGACAGGTACTGATGAGCAGTTATTGAGTGTGTCCATATTGCAGCATTATAACAATGAACTCACCAATATATGCTACAGCTCACTGCTCCAAAAGTCTTCAAAATTTTAACTCGATATGAGAGATATAGTGTCATACGCAATACCGGTAAATAGAAGACAAGAGTTGGAAAACATTGCTTCAACTTTTTAACTGTTGTGTGGTTTCCTCTACAGATGAACGGCTACCCACCTGTCGACAGCAGCCCAGCCCGGTTTGCTCACAGTATCCTGACTCCTTTCAGCCCTGTTAAAGGATATAGACCTGTATCCTTCAGTCCCCCTCCTCCAACTAAAATATTGCCCGTAAACTAGGTCTTGTAGATAGGAAGACAAAGATATTATTATACATACAACGAATTTAGTTAAGGATATGCTCGAATGAATAGAAAATTAAGCCCCACGTCTTACATTAAAGAAAACGGTCTCAGCTAGAGTGAATGTGAAGCAGTGACTAAAGAAAAAGTTTGGATCACTGGCTGGTGTAGTTGTGTAAGGTTGTTAAGAGTTTATTTCTTAAATGATAACTAATGGAGTGAGAAGAATGGATTCAGTGTGCCAAAATATATAAAAAGGAGAGTTTGTTAACACGAATGAGGTGGTGGTTACTGTTTGTAGGAGTCCAAGATGGCTGACATATAGTATAGGGGGGAACGTTAATGGTGCAGAATGTTTATATACTCACACAGTATTAGCTTTATAACAGAACATAATAACCCTTATGTTCTCCTCATGTAAAGCTGATTTTTGAAGGTTATGAGCTTTAATGTTTCCGTCCTGTGAGGGAAAGACAGAGGCAATAGACTCTGTTAAATATGTGTGTGTGTGTGTGTGTGTGTGTGTGTGTGTGTGTGTGTGTGTTTCATCAGTGTGGATGCCTCTGTGTGAAGTATAGTTATTCAGTTTATAAGTAAATAAAGATTGTTTTATGTAAGTAATATTGTCTGTGTATAATAACAAAATTGGAATATATATACACCATAAAGATTATAGAGACACAAGTTAACAAAACATTATGTAAATGTTGGTGTAACATCCTCCAGTGAGAGGATGGCCGTGTTGCCCTACACTGACAGGAGGGAGACGTACCACAACCTTAGATTCTTCCCAGATAGAACAGAAAACAGCGCCAGAGAAGGCAATCGTCAGCGCCTGGCGTTTCCTTCCAACCCGTAAGGATAAGCTTATGGACGCTGCAATATATGAACGCCAGGTCGTTTTATGCCGGGATGGGAGCACAAGTGACCGCCACAGTGTCTCCCAGCCAGTGTGTTGCTTCACGCCGGCCCGGGGGACACTGAACACACTGGTACTCAACACGGTTCATATATACAGTACAGTGGGTCTCTACAGTATAGTTATATTTGCTGTTTGTTCAAATAACTAGTTCTTAAGGTTAACCGAGAGATACTTGTTTATATTAGTGTAATAAAGGTAAATCATAAGGGCAGGTAACGATAACATCATAGAAAACGGAAGTATTATGGGTAACTCGCCCTGAATGTATGTTAGCTAGTGGTTATGTCCCCCGCGGCTATACTCATCTGTTATATGAATTACAGTGAAGTAAATCAACTGATGATATCACGTGCAATATTAATGGTAATATCAAGTAAACAATGAAATTCAGACGCATCATACAATAGATTAAGAACTGTTTTAGAGACTACACTTACTAACGTTCATTCACACTATCAAACACCTTGTAATTTAAGGACATATAAATAACTTCACAAAATTTCACTGCTCAATAACTCGTACAATTATCACACGCCAAAAAGGATCCCTAATGACTAGCCAATCCACATGCAGGGTGAGATAACCAATGAGTGTTTAGAACCGAAACTCTTCACCAATAGAGGCGTTTGATGGTAGTAACGCTCTTAGTGAACTTGATGCTAGTGGGCGTCTGTTAACATATCAACCATACCTTGTACATTATCTTAATAAGGTTCTGCTCACAGTAATATTTTGTCCCGGAGAAATATTTTAGGATCGTGTATGACCGAGCAGAACGTTTGTACATTTTTACTGTAAATAATAATGTTTTTTTTTTGTATTAAACAAATCCTAACAGTTGCTTCAGATATTCTTATTAACAAAATAAAGTTTATTTGAGATGAATGTAGATTGTTTTATTGTTATCTTTCCTGAAATTTGTTTGTCAATGTGTCTACGGTTTAACATGTATACAGACAACACACGTATTGTATACATACACTATACAGGTATACAATTTGGAATGTATATAAACAATGGTAAACAGTAAGAAGAAGCTTTTGATGAACTGGTACGAATATGCATAATGACATTGTACTGAACAGGTTGAACATTCTGAACCTTCATTTCCTTCTCTTTGTTCACCATTGTTTGTATACCTGTACTATAAAGCTGGTCAAATAATAGCCATTCATATAGTTATTTTAGTGACAAATCACATTAATTTTTATTCTAAGAAAACAATATTTTTCCAGATAGTTTTTATTGTTTTTATTTTTTATTCTTTTTTTGTTTACTGTTACTGTAGTGTCACGTCTGTTATACAAAATGAATAACAGATAAATATGACTTTTGTCCTTTGGTCTGTGAATAATGAACGAGCTCTGGTCGTCTGGCTGGTGCAATTACTCATTCGCCTACAGTTAATGAGGTGAAGAGGCAGGTAGTCACGGTGTCTACCTTAATTAAGAGAGTTCAGCCCAGACCAGCCATCAGGTAACACTTAATCTATCTAGCCCAGCCCACGCCTATCCAGCTCAGCCCAACCTCGTCTAGCCCAGTGTAGCTCATCTCAACACAGACACTGAACACAATAAGACAATAGAAGAAAGAGATGAAGAATGACCAGGAGGAAGACAACAACATCTCGTCAACTTTACAAGACCAGAAATGTCAACTTGGGCCACAAACTTGTAGGTCGAGGCAAGTTGAGCGCCGGAGTCCTCAGCTGTTAAGTCACTCACGTCACTAACAACCAAATAGGAGGATTGAGAAACGAGTGAGACGATACGTGTGAACAACGATATTACGAGAAAAAAATCATCTAAGGAACCGAGGTCGCAACTTAATGGCTGATTGATGCAGAGTAAATTTACACATTTTATACAAGTTATTAAAAGTGTAAAGTAAATGTTTTCTCTTATAAAATAACATGTGAGAAGTAGACAAGACATGGAAGTATATAGTGACTATGTACAGTAGGTTATATTGAACTCAGTGGCCCCAGTCGTGTAGGCCTGGGATGGCGAGGTATAACCAGTCTTGTATTCTCAGACTTACAAATGGACACGTCTACTAACTATATTCTCCTATGATAAATGATAAGTTCGCCTTGATGTAAGAGTATCATAAATCAAGGTGGAAGGAGAGATTATTCTGTTGGTCTTGAGAAACAGTAAGGTAGCGAGGCCGGCCGGGCCAGGGGAAGGCAGTCCAGCTGACACAACACAGAGTCGCTGGGCTCCTCTGGGACCCCTTGAGGCAACTACGTCAAATTTCTGGAGAGAGAGAGAGAGAGCCCCAATTTCCGTACCAAAAAATAATATATTTTCTGAGGCTGCCAGGTCCAACTTTCTTGTTTACGGAGTCTTGTTGTGGAAAAATCTTAAGGTTCCTGTTTGAGTGGCAGCAAACTGCCCTCGCTCACACACCCAACAGCGGCGGTTTTATACCAAAAAATATTCTTGGAAGTTAAAAGGATTTACCTCCTGGAATAAAATTCACTACATTCTCTTCTCCACAACTCCAAAAGAGAGAAAATGTACGAGCGTTAACCAACATGAGAAGATGGAACCTCTGTCTGAACACTCTCTTTTATTTCACTGCGCCTCCCAGATTTTCTCGTGTGGAATCGAAACATCTGCCACAGGATATGGAAGATCCGGCGCTTCCTTGAAGTGGGATTGGAATCCTTTGATATACCCGTGATCCCTTTAGTGCAATTTTTGCTCGAGATTTTGTATATTCTCTTAGTAAAAAAAAATAATAATTCTAATAAGATACAGGAATAACTGCTGTTTCCGTTTACCTCCTGTTGTAGCATAGGAAAAATACTTAAAGGAACCATTAAGATCTTTAGTTAAAAGAACTCCGTAAACAACAAAAACACAAAACACCGATAAAGAAACAAACACTTCCAGAGGTAAGTCGAGCAATATTTCAAAAAGGCGGCGAAAATAACCATGATGGAAGCTAAACTCGAGTAGGCTTGAAAGGGACCAGATATATGGGTGTTTCTGGCTGGCGGTGCTGAGGAAAAAATACATTGTGAAGGATGTTGTCTGGAGGAGGTGTGTGTGTGTGTGTGTGTGTGTGTGTGTGTGTGTGTGTGTGTGTGTGTGTGTACCAATACGTGAAGAGAAGAAAAAAAATATCTATATGAGGAATGTTGTTACTTAAGGAATGTTGTTACTTAAGAAATGTTGTTACTTAGAAATGTTGTTACTTAAGGAATGTTGTTACCTAAGGGCTATTGTTACTTATCATTGTATTCCAACACTCGTATAGACTTTGCCTCATCATAATAACAATGTCAGTAATTCCTTATACACATCACACCTCAGAGTAGGGTTAGGAAAGTCGATCATAACCCCTCAGTCTCACCGGCGCGGCGTCCTGACTGTCATCAAGAGTGCTCGTGTCTATGCCTCTCTGGACACGAGATCGCAGGTACAGTTCTGTCCATAGACATTTAATGTGTCAAAGAGTTACCAGAAATAAACTAAAACAAGCATTGATGTTTCAGAGCAAATTCCTGCCATATAAAAAGTGTTAACAAGCACTTATGTGATTCTTCAACAAAATGGTTAGTTACAAACATATTACAAATAAAGTTATAATAATGACTTACACGAATCTGGGCTAGGTGGTGTTAACTGTTACTGAACAAGGCTGGTCTGGGTGAACTCATTAGGATAGGTGAAAGGAGGCAGCATCATACGTTTCCATTAATTAAGGTAGACACCGTGACTACCTGCCTCTTCACCTCATTAATTGCAGGCGAGTGAGTAATTATACCAGCCAGAAGAACAAAATATTGTTCATTGTTCACAGCCCAATGAACAAATGATAAACGTAATCACATATTGTTTATAGTAAACAACAACAACGACAATTATGTAACAGTAAGAAATAATCAAAACAACGTCAATTATCTACACAAAAAAATCTTCGAATAAAATGAATTGTAATTTACCATCTATACAGTGGAGGTATAAGAGGAATGATATACAGTGTGTGTAGATGGTGAAGAATGTTTAACATGTTCACTACGACACAAACGCTTCATAACAACTCACGGAATAACTCTCGTTGGATAAGAATTACGATTCCCATTGGAGGACTGGAAATATATCAACCAATCATCATCTGATCTTTTTCTCCGTCTTTTTTTTTCTGCCAATCAGCAATCAGTATCCCCAGAGCAGCGGCCTCACACTGCTGCTGGCCAATCACCCTCTTTGAAAGGATAGCCAATAGACAATCACCTAACACTTCCCTTATAATGGTAAAGGGTGGAAGAGAGACGACAAGGAGAGACAAAGCGAGACAGCGAAGGGCGGCGGAAATGAGCGAGAGATAGTAAATGAGGGAATGAAGTTAAGACAGCGAGAAACAGTGATGGGGAGGGAGACAGTGAGGGAGAGTGAGAGACAGTGCCAGAGAGTGAGAGACAGTGCCAGAGAGTGAGGGAGAGTGAGAGACAGTGAGAGACAGTGAGAGACAGTGCCAGAGAGTGAGAGACAGTGAAGGAGAGTGAGAGACAGTGAAGGAGAGTGAGAGACAACAATGTGATATATGAATGTTGATCTATGAAACAGTCACGTTCAACAAGTTATAAAGTTAACAAGCAGATGTCAACGTGATGTCACTCAATGACCGAATAGCCAATAAAGTCTGGATTAAACACGTGTCAATAGGATGTCAGCATCGTGTCAGCATATAAATGAGTCATGGAGAGTCAGGTCACTTGTAACGTCAAGAGCCACACAGTGTAACAAGCTGTGTCATACTCCGGTTATCACCCCAGCAGTAACGAGTAACTGAAGGACATACATACACACACACACACACACACATCTAAACACGTGTATTGTTATTTGATATTTTCATGACAAAGTTTTCCGACAAGCACAATTCGCCCGCCTGATGTAGACAATGTTTCCTTATTTGTCTACAATACTATGCCCACATAAATGATGTTATTTCATTGAGTTTACTTTAAAAGCTGACGAGTACTGACAGTGAAGGTGGGTTCTTTGGGCTGACGGGGGGGCAGTTAGGGGCAGTTTGGATATAGCACACTGTAGACTAAGCCTTTTCTGGATAAACAAGGAGGCATTGCGGCTGACACTGCACTATACCACCGCCAATTCTCCAGCTGTAGTGTAAGGTATCCATTTACAGCCGGTGTACTGTTGTGCCCTGGTTGAGAATCATCTTCTCTTAGAACAGATGTGTGTTGTAACCGCTCGACCACTCCTGATATAGACATAATATCTAATTCGCTATACTCTTATAAAATAAACTGTTTATATATCAGTGTATTACGATGACAGTGTTAATGAGCTACACTGCCCTGACCACCCGAGCCAGTGAGCACAGTCCAGGGGGAGGCACAGTCCAGGGGGAGGCACAGTCCAGGGGGAGGTACAGTCCAGGGGGAGGCACAGTCCAGCTGTGAGGCTCCAGGCAACTACGTCATATACCTCGAGATGGAGAACCTCGATTTCCTTACCAATAAATAATATATTTTTTGAGGCTGTCGGTTCCAACTTTGTTTACGGAGTCTTACGGTGGAGAAATCTTTTTGGTTTTGTTTAAGAGTCAGCAAGTTGTCCTCACAAACACACAGAACGGCGGGTTGTACCAAGCGTTACCCCAAAGGTAGACTGACCCGTGTTACATTCCAACACATCTCCATAGTTGTAAAATAAAACGTAGAAAATTAAGAAGTGAGAACGTTAACCAACATGAGAAGATGGAACCTCTGTCTGAACACTCTCTTTTATTTCACTGCGCCTCCCAGATTTTCTCGTGTGGAATCGAAACATCTGCCACAGGATATGGAAGATCCGGCGCTTCCTTGAAGTGGGATTGGAAATCCTTTGATATACCCGTGATCC